CCATCTCCTTTTATTAGCCCCGCCCAGATAGTTTGGATACTACTCAGTGGAGATTCTACCTTCCTCTGTGCCCTCTGGATCTAGGCTCCCTCTCTGTATGTTCTTGATGTGATCCCACAACTTTTCTGGTCTTAGGTCATTAATGTCTAATACATCAAAATCTGTTTTTGAGATGATTTCTAAATTCAGGTGGGATATGTTTAAGGTCATATAATGACTTTAAAAAAAATTCCTTTGGCTTCAGCTTGAAGTTGTACATGAGCAATTGATGGTCTGTTCCATAGTCTGCCCCTGGTCTTGTTTTGCTGATGATATGGAGCTTTTCCACCATCTCCTCCTACAGATGTATTCAATTTTATTTCTGTGTATGCCATCTTGTGAGGTTCTTGTGTCTTATAGTCTTTTTTGTTATTTAAAAAGGTATTTGCAATGAAGAAATAATTCGTCTTGAAAAATTCTGTCATGTGATCTCCAGCATAATTTCTATCACCAAGGTCATATTTTCCAACTGCTGATCTATCTTGTTTTTTTCTTTTGCATTCCAATAACCAGTAATTATCAATGCACCTTGACAGCATGTGTTATCAATTTCAGATTGAAGAAAATGATAGAATTTTTCAATTTTATCTTCACTGGCTCTAGTGGTTGGTGTGTAAATTTGAGTAAGAGCATTATTAACTGGTCTTCTAGGTGTATGGATATTATCCAATCACAGACAGCATTAAACTTCAAGACAGATCTTGAAATGTTCTTTTAGATGATGAATGTGAATCTATTCCTCTTCAATTGTCATTACCATAATAGTAAACCTTATGATTGTCAGACTCAAAATGGCCAGTGTCAGGCCATTTTAGCTCAGTAATGCCTAGGATATTGATCTTTTTGTGTTCCATTTAATTTTTGACAACTTCCGATTTTCCTAGATTCATAATTTGTACATTCCATGTTCTGACTATTAATGAATGTTACATCTATTTCTCCTCATTTTGAATAATGCTGCATCAGCAAATGAAGGTCTTGAAAGCTATACTGCATTCGTGTCAGCATGGTCAACTCCACTTTGAGGAGGCAGCTCTTTGCCAGTTGTATTTTGAGTGTCTTCTAACCTGAGGGACTCTTTTTCTGGCACTATATCTGGCAATATTCTGGTGCCTTTCATCATGCTTCAATATTAAGTATTCTGGTGCTATCTGACAGTGTTTCACTGCTATTCCTAAGGTTTTCTGTGGCTAAACATTTGGATGAAGTCTACTTCTTCTTCTTTCAAGTCTGTCTTAGTCTGCAAGCTCAGTAGAAACCTGTCCACCATGGGTGACCCTACCAATGGCACAGCTTTCAACATCACAGCAACACATAAGCCACCATAGTGTGACAAAATAGCTACATCTCAATGGTTCAACCACTAAGAATCCTGCTCCAGTCAATTTGACACAAAACTTTAACTATTACAATGACTTTCAATGTCAAACTCCCCAGCCCAGAGCCTGGACCCAGCTGACTATTGGCCCAGACAACTGGGTGACAGACTGTCCCAAAATTCTTAGTGGTTTAGTGGTTGAAATGTAGTTATCCCCCATGGTGTAATATGATGTGATAAACTGATAAGAGAATTAAGTGTGGGATTCACTACCCTTAATTCTATCACTACCTTGATCCAACTTATTGGAGATTCCTGGGGGTGTGGTATGCAGCACATTTATCTTACAAGAGATAAAAGGAGAGAGTTGGCAGAGAAATAGGGATGTATTACCACCAGGAGTCCTGGTGTGGTGCTATAGGATAAGCACCTGATTGAAAGGCCAGTTTTAAGAGAAAGGCCAACAGTTCAAACCCACTAGCAACTCCTTGGAAACCATATACAGGGTCACTATGACTTGGACAGTGAATAACGAAGACC